GAACGTAATAGAATTGCACAATGCAAACACTGACAACAATAGCGACAGGCACAACAACTTTTGGGACGAAATTTTACAAATAAGGCTACTATTGAACCATTTCGTCTTCCGCCTTTTAATATATGCATTCACTGTAATACAAAAAAGTTTACAGGAGAATCTGAAGGGTTTTGTTGTTTGAATGGAAGAGTCATTTTAGCTAATATAGAAGTATCTGCTACTTTGCAAAATTTATTTTCTAGAACAGATGAAGTTGGATGCGATTTTCATGCAAATATTCAGGCTTATAATTCACTTTTTGCTTTTACTTCGATGAGCTTTCATTTTGATCAACATCTTGCAAATAGTAAGCACAATTTATTTTGAATAGTTTACTATTTTGATATTAAAGCAAATATTTTTTGTAGATAGAGATAGCGTTTATACTTTCTGAGTTCAAGGAGGCGTATATTACGCAATCAGGCCTTTGCTTCCATCAAATAATAATTCACCAAAATATTTACAACTTTATATATACGACACAGAACATGAAATTAATAATCGATTAAGTATAATGCCTGATCTTCGACACGAAACTATCGAATTAATAAAAACCGTATTTGATGAGGTCAACCCTTTTGTCACAAATTTTCGTCACCTCTCTATATTCACAGACATTACAAATTATCGAATAACAATTAGAGCTAATCATGGCCTAGACCAACAAACATATAATACTCCCATAGCTTCTCAAGTTGCGGCTATATGGGTTGATGGTAGTGATCCTCTTGGTTTTCAAAAGTGAGATGTAATAGTATGTTTATGATCTGAAGGCCTACAGAGAATTTCTGAAATTAGTGGTCCCTATGATCCAATGCAATACCCACTTTTGTTTCCTAGAGGACAATATGGTTGGCATCCTGATATTCTTATGTCTCTTTCAGCTGTTAGCAACGAACAACAATATGAGGAAAATGACAATGAATTTGCAGCACACTGTTTAAAAAAAGTTACAGCAAAACAGTATTATGCATACCAGTTACAAATACATGACTGATCTTCTTTAATTCTTTTAGAAGATCGACTTTTTTAGCAGTTTGTGGTAGACAATTATGTAAAAATTGAAGCCGAACAGCTCAATTATTTGCACTTTAATCAAGATAAAATTAGACGAGATTTATACTCAGGCCTTGAAGACGCACTTAATGAAGGGAATACTGATGCTTCAAATACTAGAAGACGAATTATTCTTCCATCTTCTTTTATCAGAGAGCCTCGAGATATACATTAACATTATCAAGACATCATGGTATTGGTGATAACGTTCGGTAGACCAGACCTTTTTATCATAATTATGTGTAACTCTAAATGGTCTGAGATTCTTGAAACCTTTTTGCCAGATCAGACAGCTTCAGATCGACCTGATCTTACAGGTAAATTATTTTTGTTTTTTCAACTTTCTTTTTAATTTGTATTTAATATATATATTTTTACACTTTAGCACGTGTGTTCCATGCTAAGTTAGAAGAACTTAAAAAGGATCTCTTTCAACGAGACATTCTTGGTAAGGCAGTTGTACACACATACGTTATTGAGTTTCAAAAAAGAGGTCTTTCTCATGCTCACATTTTAATAATTTTAAGTCTAACAGATAAATCCAAAAGCCCTGACAACTATGATGATATTGTTAGAGCAGAATTGCCAGACATTAACACTGAGCCGATATTGTATAGCAAGGTAATTTCTCATATGATGCATGGTCCATGCAGTGCTTTCAATCATAACTCGCTGTGTATGAAAGATAGAAAATATAAAAAAAACTATCTGAAAGAATTTGTCAATACCACATATGAAGGATCTAACTCATATCTACAATATCGTCATCAAAATAATGGCCAATGTGCAACTGTAAGGGGTGTCATTCTAGATAATCATTGGGTCATACCTTATAATCTATATCTTTTATTATGCTACAACTGTCATATTAACATTGAAATTTGCTCAAGCATTAAGGTGGTGAAATAGTT